GTCAGAGGCAATGAGATTGGCACAGGATAGAGCACGGTTTAGGGCTGTTGTACATAGGGTCGCTATGAGTCGCAAACGACTCGACGGCACATAACAATAACAACATATATAAACAGACATATATATAAAACTCCAATTTAAGAACAACAACAACAACAACAAGAAGAAACAACACTCTAAACTAAATTTGACTTTGGAGTACCAGGCTATGTCTTGACATTATTGGTTGCCTCTGTCTGAAGTGTTCATCTTTATATTCAGAAGTATTTCCTAAACCACATGCCTCTGGAAACTCTATGAACTTTGATAAATGACGGTAGTTATTGAAAGGCGTCAGACCTTGTGTCATTCTTGACTCGACGGCAATCAACAACTATAACATAACTTTACTAAATCCTTGTCAGCAACTAGAAGGAAAACTGAAGAGATGAGGTATATTGTTAATATTATAAGAAAAATATTCATCCATTTATGTGACACAAAATGAGAGTGAATTTGTAATTGTTTTATAATACTTACCATCTGCTTTTCACTTTTAGGTGATATTATAAAAGCAGTTACTGAGCTGAATAAAGTACATATCATCGGTATCTTGGATATCTGTAACTTGGGTGACAATAAAATCGAAGTCTGTTTGCATAAAATTTATACTCCGGATAGTAGTTATTAAAAGTTGGCAAGTAAAATTATTACACCTTATAAAGGAGCTCTGCTTTATCATTTTGTTGTTAATTCCAGTAACTTTTTCAGCAAAACTTACATGTGCTCTAAATTTATTAGACGATTATGTGTTTGTTTTGTATTTAGTACTAACAGGTTTCGTTGTAGATCCATTATTGAAAAAGTTATTAAAACACAGTTTTTGTATATCAAAAAAATATGCTTTTCTTCTGTATGACTTGTAACAATTCATGTTCACTGTCTCTTAACCTAAACCAGCATGGGACACCCTAATTTACAAGAGCAACTTTTCATGGATATTTAACACATTCCTAAATGTAAGCATATGTATATTGGGAAGTGTGAATTACCAGTTTGCAAGTTACATTCTCAAAAAGTGGTCAACCTGCATGTCTTACACAAAGTAGACTGAGTAAACTCAGCTTACAAATGAGTAGACTCATTTTCAAAACCACATATAGGTTGCTGTGGCACCATTGTCCCTGCTCTTCAGTTTGGTCAGCTATAAAATTAAAATGTTAAATTAAATTGTCTTCAGGTTGCTTTCCACCCACTATGGTTTATATATATTATGTGGTTTAAATGTTTAGATATTTTGACTGGTTTATGATATTAGAGCCAAAGGCTACATATAGTGTGTTTTCATTCTTGCTGTATTTGTTTGTAGTTTCAGAATGTGTATTATTAGTTTAAATAATTACATTTTATGACATATTAAGATTTTAAGTTGCTCATATTGAAAATAGAAAACATTAACTAAGGATATTGAATTTATTCCTCTTTACTATTTACTTCATTTTCAATGTAAGTGACTTCATATTTGGGGCCCTGTGGTTGCCATCTATATTATTAGTTCAATGTGTCAATTTAACTTATATGAATTTAAAGACTATTATGTATTAAATGAATCTGATCATAATTAAGTTTATATGGTTTCCTGTCAGTTCTATGGTTCTGTGACTTTATATGCTATACATTTCAAATGTGTTGGGCAGCCCATGAACCTAAAACAAACCCTACATTGTATTCAGAAACGTGTTCAATCTTTTATATAACTCTTTCAATGTTGATTAAAATTGTGACTGGTGTTAAGATTTTGAGTATATTAATAAAGAAGTAAAAATGCAATGGCTCTTTGGGGGTTGACTGACACACTTCATATATTTAGCCTATAATAGATCATCTATATATACTTGTCAAGTAAGCTGATTCTCCTATATGGAATTGAAGACTTATTTGCCAAACTGAATATGGTTTCTGTACAAGGTATTGTAATATATTTTTGTAAAAACATGTATGGGGGTCTCAGGGGGCACAGGGTGGGAGCAGAAGGGTGAGGATGGGTAGGGATGAAATCACAAGGTTGCACAATTTGGTGGGTGGAGGGAGTGGACAAAGGAAATGAGAAAAATCTAGCGGGGACTGGAAAAGACAGGGTAATGGTGGACATAGTCCAATAGTGATCAAAATCTATTTATTTTTTTTTACAAAGATGTTGTCTTTTCTTATTTGTGGGTTTCCGATTTGAGAATAGAGTCACAGACTCTGCTTCATACTGAACAGGAGTGTTGAGATGAAGGGGAAGAAGAGCCCACTTTAACACTTTACTGGTGATCTTGAGTTGAAGCTGCATGCCTTCTTATTCAGTTAGAAGATATGTTCATGACATTTTCTGCCCTCTGGACTGTAAGGTACCTGCATGAGTGAGTCCAGCGAGAGTGACTGGCTGAACTTTGAAGCTCCATCCACCTTTGTTTCCTTAGCTGGCAGTTATATTTTCCCTTTGTCTCTGGAACTGGGCTCAGGGTTCATGTTCTGGAACAAGACTCAGTGTTCTGGTTACCTATAGAAAAGGGAGCAAACCTAAAGAGAACAAACTTTTGAGTTAAAAAGAAAAGTGCTTTGGAAGTGTTACTTACATGTGTACCAAAAGAGAAGATGGAGGAAAGTGGCTTAAATAAAGGTCCTCATACACACCAGGCGGCTTTTCCCATGGGCTGGGGGCCTCTCCCCTGGGGCCAGGCAGCACTCCCAAGGGGCTGGGTGGCTCTCTCCCCATAAAGCTCCTCTGAGGTCTGGACCTTGCACCCTACTGAGGACCGAGGCTAGGGACAGCTCTTACATCACTAGTGCCACCATCATTGCCCCCTTCCTCTCCACCAAGTTGTCTAATAGTAACTCAAAATAGGTATTATAACTTTCCCCTTCCACAAATGGAGAAGGGGCTTACACAGTGCTGAACAGACCTACTCAAGATTAAAAAAGCAATAAAGGCAGTAGAACAAGGACTCAAGCCAAGGTTATATGAAGGCAGGCTGTGAGGCAGCAAGCTCCACACAACTCTTAGGTCAGCCATCTTTTGTCTTCTTCTGCAAGCAAAATCCTGCTGAAGATCACTTTCAAAATGGCTAGAAGAGTACACTCAGACCACTCGTAGGGCACTTCCTGCCAGTTGGCCAGGTATTATAAGTTTTAAATAGTAATACAATTTTCGTTCCAAATGAATGTTGGAAAGGTGTGGTGGGGGGAGGACATTACATCTAACAAATAACAGACTGAAAAGTTAATGTGAAGATTTCAAAACTACACACTTCAGCAGGTGTGATTTCTGCTCTTATTTTGGGTTTGAAATATGGATTATTCAAAAAGTATTTGGGAGCTTTAAAAACATCTCCTCTGGAAATTTCTTTTATGTTCCACAAATATTTCTACCCAAGTTCAAAGTTCAAAATCCATGCCCACATCAGATTGCTGTGCAACTAGGGAGCTACTATGGCCATTTCCTAAGAAAAATAGCAAACTATGTTGAGAAGGATGTATCTACCCTCATATTATGAAATAATATGAAATTTTTTAATTTTTTTATCCATTTCATAGTCTACTTAAAGACCAAAGCCACTCATTAAAAATAATCTCTTATTTTAGATAATTTATACCATATACACATTGAAATCCTATGGTAATCAAGTTTTTAAAGGAGAAATTTGAGCATGTGTTCTGTAAAAAGAACACTGATAACATGGGGAAGGCCCAGTCTGACTTCTTCCTGCTTCATAAAGAGGAAATTTCCCCATCAGTAACACTGAAATTACCAAGCATGCCTCATGCTTCTGCACCTATATCTACCAATCATCGAGTCCAATGTTCATTTCAAATTAACTCACAAACCTTACATACAGTTGTGAGGTTTGTTAGGTAAATAGGTTGGAGAGTGGGAGAGGCAAGGAATATCACAGAATGTAAGTCCAAGTTTACTCCAGCAGTCCCAAGCCAGAATGTTGTTGTTGTTGTGTTCGATCAAGTTGGAACCAACTCATAGCTGACACTCTGGTGGGTTTTCAGAGACAGATGATTGCATGGGAGGAGATTGCCCATCCTTCTCCTATAGAGCAGCTAGTGGGATTCAAACCACATGCCCATGGAATTGCTGTGCAGCTTCTTGCCACTAGGCCAAGCCAGAATAACAGGACACAATTCCTCAATTAGTGAAAGTCCAGGTTCAGATCAGCAGCACAAATGCGCCTCTAGTTTCCACAATCATCCAGCAAACTTGATTAGAGAGCAGTTACGTGAATATAAAGAAAGACTAAAAATAAAAGAGTGGGGGGAAAATATAACAAGCAAATGGCAACCAGAAAAAAGCAGAAGTAGCAATATTAATCTCTGATAAAAATGAATGTCAAAGTAAAAACCATCACAAAAGACAAGGAAGGTCACTACAAAATGCTTAAAGGGTCAATAGAACAAGAGGACATAATAATAATAAATATCTATACACCAAATGAAAGATCTGCAAAATATATAAAACAAACATTAACAAAATTGAAAAAGGAAATAGCCAACACTACTATAGTACTTGGAGACTTCAATACACCCCTCTCAAGAAAAGATAGAATTACCAGGGAGAAACTCTACAAAGATACAGAAGAATTAAACCACAAAATAAGCCAACTCGAACTCATAGATATTTATAGGCTTATGAACCAAAAAAAAGCACAGTATACTTTCTTCTCCAATGTGCATGGAACTTCTCCAGATTAGATCACATTCTAGGTCAAAAGGCAAGCATCAAGAAATTAAAAAAACAGAAATGATACAAAGCATCTTCTCAGACCACAATGCTACAAAATTAGCAATTAATAATAATAAGATAAAGGAGAAAAAAACCATACATTTAGAAGCAGAACAACACCTTGCTTGAACATAACTGCGTAATAGAAGAAACAAAAAATGAAATTAAAAAGTTTCTGGAAACAAATGACAATGAAAACACGACTTATAAAAACCTCTTGGAAACAGCCAAAGCAGTAATCAGAGATCAATTTATAGGAATAAGCAAACACATCAAAGACACGAAAAAATTACCATTGACTCTCTAACCCAACATCTCCAGCAAATTGAAAAAGAACAGCAAGAAAAACCGAACACCGTCTAAAAAACCAGAAATGATAAAAATTAGAGCAGAAATAAATGAAATAGAAAACCAAAAAACAATTGAAACCATCAACTAGGAGTTGGTTCTTTGAAAAGGTCCATAAAATCGACAAATCACTAGTAAAACTAACAAAAGAAAAGAAGGAAAAGACACA